TTTGAAGTGCACTTGTGCAATCTATGAGATCAAACATAAAATTCTGCCTGTGCATGGTTTCATAAATTCACTTTTGAATGACAAAACAAAAAATAATACACACGCAGTCACACATATAAGCTCCTTTTTTTTTACAATCATATTGCCTGATATTCGACATTTTCCATTCTTATTTAAATGTGTTTTTAATCAAATAATTCACCGTCTAAAAGTGAAATCAGACGTTTCTAAAAACAATCTCACAATAATCAGAATTAAATAATGTTTCTTCAACGGTGTTTCAACCAAACCTTAGGTTTGTTTTTTCTTACACAGTTCTTGCATTTGAGATTGTGTAGCTGTATCTAATGAAGTGGCTTCTGAGTGTTTTCACGAAATCCGTCCCCAACGACGAAAACGATGATTTACGGGGTTGGGATGTATTAAAATCGATAAAAAAAAAAAAAGAGGCAAGCAATTAAAACCAGTTTGGAAACGTGCAGGTATATTTCCCTAAACTTGGGCGATTTTTTTTTCATGTCAGTTTTTTCCAGGAAATTCATAAGTGGCTTTACCTCATGTAAAACAAATTTACATGAGGTTTGGGTTGTGTAAAATAAATTCCAAAATGAAAGCCATTGAAAGAAGGCTGGAGAAATAGGATATTATCTGCAAGCGTGAAGATTGTCTCAAGGCGTATAGTGATGAAGTGTTTTTTCTATAATTCAAGATTTTTTTTCTTTTCATCTTAATCCATGTATTCGATTTCTTTTTCAAAAAATCTATTTCGTTTGCCTGCTTTAATAGAGATGAAAATTGAAATAAATTAGGACCAGCTTGGAAATACCAGAAAATGTTTAAATAAATAAATATATATATATATATATATTATTTGCTTTCATTTCAATTACAGACTTCTGTTATTTGAATGAATAAAGGGGACAAAGTGTGCCAGCAAAATTCCCCGAGATCATTTATTCTGCTCTTAATCGCACTACGAAATTTCTGCACTTTTCACCTAAACAAGCGTGCACCACCTGTTTTACGGCATCATCATCGTCAACAACAACAACAAAAAACATTTGGAACCGAATCTCAAGAGTGCTAATAATTGCATTTATTGCGTCGTGACCCTCTTAAGAGGAACATTCAGCACGTCCTCTTTTTTTCCTCGGCGTCCTTTTCCTTGTTTGTCGGCGCATGAATTCGTTGGGACTCCAAAGGAGCCGCAAAGCACCCCGCAGAAAGAAGAGAAACGCACATCTTTATTTCTTTTCTCTCTAAACTCTTCAAACGCTTTGCTGTGTGCCACACACTTTGATTTCTGCTCTTTCTTTCTCTTATCCGCGCAGCTCATGATGGAGGGACTTTTTTTGACGCAACAATCAAGTAAAAGAAAAAAAAAGCCAATAGCTGAAGAGAATGTGTAGATTATATTAAAACTATTATTATTAGCCATTCGAGACATTTATTATTATTATTATTATTATTATATTTATTATTATTAGTAGGAAGACGAGGAGGAGTATACCAGAAAGTATTATTTTTCTTATAAAAATTTAAAAACGGGACAGTATATTTCTCATAAAATATAAATATTACAATAATAGTGTTATTTGTATAAAATGTGTTTGATATTAGAAATAGTTTTACTTTATGTTTCGAAATATTTGCATATTTGCTTGACGAATTTGATGATTGTGCTCCAAGCAATTACAGTACGGTGATAAATGCTAATTTATTCATACTTTAAAATGTTTTTTTCTTCACGCGCTTTAAAAATGTTCTATTATTGTTTGATAGAGAAAATGCTGCAAGTAATCAGAGTAATCATGACTTTTTCTTTTAACCTTTTGTAGAAACCATCACACATTGTAATAAGGAAATAATATATTTATTTCTAAAGTATTTAGACAATATTTTTCTTGAAAGAACTTTTAATGCAGCAATTATAACAAGAACGCATAAGTATTATCAATATGAATGAGGCCAACAGTTGGCTGAATTTCGCAAAATAATATTTTCTTCTTCGAAATTGTGTACACTCTCGTAAAATTGTCTAATGGAAGGAAAATTTTATGTCTTATTTCTACCATTACTAATAATTCCAAAATTGGTAAAATAATCAACGTTTTCCTGTTTGATTGACCTGCTCAATCGTTTACACGCCCAAACATTATTAACTGGCTTTACTGACGATTTTTACACGCAAGAAAATCAACAAATATTTAATGAAAATAACATTTTCTTGAGCGTGAAAAGCGTTAAAGTAAAATCGACTTTTTGTTTTAAAAAAACACTCCTTGGCAGTACAAATTTAACACGGGGGCATGATTTGAAATTCAAAATCCCTCCACTGTGTTTGTTAGGATTAGCTCCCTTTTTTAACGAACCGCATTTGTCTGTCACAGGTGATTTCCCTCTCGATTCATTAAAACGCATCATCTGTGCTCTATTCGTTCTTTTTGACATGCTTAGTTAAAACACACACGGAAAAGGAAAACGCATGCAATGCAGAAGG